TATATGAGCAATACAGGAGCAAGTTCATTTCAAAATTATTTTTTATGATTTTTTTTTTTACATTAGCAAGGGACAATGCATTTTTTAATTATTATTATTATTATTATTATTATTATTATTATTATTATTATTATTATTATTATTATTATTATTATTATGTTACTAAAACCTTACCTACCTTTTTTAAGGGAACTCAGACAATGGAAAAATTAGAGAACTATTAAATAAATTATGTTAATTTAAGGGGAAAATAACACAAAAGATATTCCCCTTAAGTCCGATTTAGTGAAATTGACATTATTATTGTTGTTATTATTATTATTATTATTATTATTATTATTATTATTATTATTATTATTATTATTATTATTATTAAGTCAACCACAAGCAATGCCAACCTTTGATTGCCATACAAAATTCGCGTACAAAATTAGTTTGGTGGTCCTAGTAACAACAATAACACAAGGTATTCAGTCCAGTACAGTAGAAGTAGGGTGCAGCCATGTTTAGGGCCTAGGCGTACTGTAGTATGCCCCATAGGCCTACCTCCTTGGACTGCCACCTCCCTAGACTAGGCTAGGCCTAGGGCCAAAGCCTAGCCTAGGCCAATCCTTTTTCCAAAAGTCTAGCTAGGCCTAGGCGGCCTATGCTATTGGCGCACCTTATGAGAATCATGGCGATGTAACTCTGAGAGTGACTTAATATCCCAAACCCGGACCGATAGGTCTTCACTAACGGAGGCACAGAGATTTGACTGTCCGTCATTCTTGCTAAAAGCTACACCAACGACTCGCTCTGTGTGCCCAATCAAGTGGCCTACAAATTCTGCACGAGATTTTTGAGCGTTAAACAAGCAAACTGAATGACGAGCAGCAAACACAAATATTCCTTCTTTATTAGTATCTGTAGCCTTGCTGCAATACCAATTTGGAGATGGTGGTATTATTTCTGAGTTCATTTTACAGCTATTTAGTTTTTGAACACACAATTTGCAATGGGGGCGTCCATGTTGTTCAAACGTTCAGTTATTTAGACGGCAGTCGTAAATATAAGATTGACTTTAATACACTCATTTTGTAGCCTAAAGTTAACTAAACGCCCTTGCTCTTGCGGACAAATAGAATTGAGTTGCATGGCTTTCATTTGGTATCAAAAGTACACTAAGAACACAACTGAACGAACGAACTGCACACAAAACTCAAATTTGGATATAAATATGTTTACTTTCAATTGAAAATTAAAGTGAGACAAATTTTTCAAGCCATTTAGCAGGGGTAACACATTTCCTACTAGTATGTGCATACCCTTGCTGCGGGACTTGCTGGTAGCATCTTGACGTATTTTATTTCATTGTTTAGGGTGTTCATGAAATCCGAATTTCACGAAGGTAGGCCTTCGATGTGTTAAAGTTGAGACAATGACTGTTAGCTACTGAAAGAAAGCAAAACAAAATAATTTATAAGAAAATCTAGATAAAAGCGTTTTGACAGTCAAATTTATAGCTTTAATATAGGCCTACCTAACAAATTAGAATGCAAAAACTAATAAAATTCAAGTCGTTCAATTTTATAGGCTTTAATTTTGCATTCTATTTTATGATTTATAGCTTTATATACCTGAAAAAAAAATAGAATGCAAAACCAATAAAATTGAAAGAGCTTTCCAAGAAAAAAAAAAAAAAAAAAAAAAAATTCATTTACACAATTCTTCCAAATTTAATCTGTTTAAAAAACAAAGTTATTTCTGTCCTTTCGCATCTTTACTGTCTGTCCTGAGCAGAAATCCATTTGCAAAAAAAAAAGCATATGGAAGGTAGGCTAGGCCTAAACTTAGGCCAAAAAGCAGAATTCATAAGCCTACTATGTGTACAATTTGTATTTTTTTTCTATTTTTTCCTTGTAATTATTCCTACACATTTTGTTTATTTACACAATAATTAATTGTCTGGGTTCTATTCCAACAATTAAACAAATTGAATCATATTCAATTCAAACAAATAAATAATTAAATCATTTTTCCTGATTCCTAATTGTTTCATGTTTAATAATAAAACCTATGTAGAGTACAGGACTTGATGTCTGGCTACCAAGAAATCTTCAAGAATAAAAAGAGCATGCATTAATGTCCATTCTAAAATGAGGCCATGCATCATTTCTTAATTTTCCTCTGATAGAAAAATCTAAAGATCACATTTTTGTGCCAGTTTTTAATTATTTATTTATTCTTTTGACTAGATATATAATTTTCAGTAACGCAGTACTGTTTTTCAAAATGTTAGGTTAAGAATATAAACCGAAATATATTAAACAGAACAAACAATTCTTTAGACACAGTCCATGGTCTTGGCAGACCAGACTGAACATTTTTCCTTCAATTAAGACTACTTTACTTTACAAAAGAAGGAAAATCCATGTGTATGTGTTTTCCCCACGTACAAGAAAGCTAGTGCTGATCATAAGACTAGATATGTATGTGGAGAGCAGTTGACGTATGATCATCGTTCAAATATCTTGGTCATTTTGGTTCTTTCAAGTTCAAGTTCAAAGTACATTTATTCATAATTGTCAACATAGTGAAATGATACATAAATGATACAAAAGTAAACAGAACTTAAATAAAATGTAATAATGACCATAATAGCTAGTACAACTGATTATGCGACATGATTTTTCAATAATAAAGGGTTGTATGCGCGCGAAATCTCTTCAGAGGCGTTTTTATAATTGTAAAATCTATATTAGGGCCTATACTCAGGATTTATGGCATGCATTTTTATTGTTTAAATTTATGGGCTATAATTACCAGAGAAAGTCTAAAATTAGAGTTAATAGGTAAACCAAGATAAAACAGAACCATGTTTGTGTCATGTAGGTTTCCATCTTTTGGTGAACATGTAAGAAAATCAGTGTACGATCTCATATCAAGGATTTTTGGTCAGCTCTGACTAATAGCCCCTGCTGTTATTGTACTTTTGTTCTTGTTACCAAAACTTTTTGCTTTGCCAGTTTTGAACGGACGTGCATGAAATTTTGTACACATAAGCTAGAGGTGATTTCCAAAAAAAAAAAAAAAAAAAAAAAAAAAAAACCCTTCATCGCCCTTTTTTTACCCCCATGGTTCCCTACACCTACAAAACAAAAAGCTTCTAGCGTCACCAGTTTTGAATGGACGTGCCGCGAAGTTTTGTAGGCCTATACACATAAACTAGAGGTGATTTCTAACAAACGTTCACCGCCCTTTTGTAAGTTGTTCCCCCTACACCATACAAAACAAAACAGGGATTTTAAACTTTAAAGCGTCCAGCGTCGCCAGACGGTTTTGAACGGACGTGCAGGAAGTTTTGTAGGCCTACACATAAACTAGAAGTGATTCCAACAAACATATTCATCGGACCTTAATGAGGGCGGGCTAAAAATGATTCACATTGAGTCATTCTGCAATAGCATGAAAACTAAATGGATCCAAAGACTGTTTTTAAATAAACCAAGTAAATGGACCCTTTTTTTTTTCTAATCTGGGAATGTAATTTTAAACATAATGAAATTGTTTGGACTTGATAAAAAACGAATTTATAAAACATGTTTTGGTGGCATGGAGCAAAGTATATTTTTACAAATGGTGAGAGTATTATTAACCCAAAGCTTCAAATTATATGATGTAGTAGGCCTAGTCTGATTAAGTCAAATAATTTTATTACCTCCTTCAACTCTCTTGCATAAAGTAAAATATGTAATGATATTTTAGACGAAGGAGGTACTGTTTTAAATTATAATAACTTCAAGACCAAATTTGATACCACGTTTGGTTTTTTATCCGTATTACAAAATAATATTAGCAATTCCAAGAGATTGACTAAAATTATGTAAAAATGGAGATGATTTTAAATCTGATAATACAGCTGAAGATATCAATTGCTTCTTTTCTGCAAAAACCATAATCGCCTTGTTTATTGTAAGCTAAAAAGTAAGCATTCTTCGAAACCGATTTCTGAATTGAAATGGAATTCTCAACTATCTACCCTGTTAAATTCCACTGGGTTTTTGCTTTTAAAATACATTTTGAATGCATCACCGATTCAAAATTACAATAATTCCAATATAAAATTATTCATAGAATTTTGGGAACAAATAAAATAGTTTCAAAGTTTGAAAATATTTCACCTTTATGCACTTTTTGTAAAAGCAATAGAGAAAATAGATTGTAGGTTAGAGATATTTCGTTATACGTAAAAACATTGCTCAATATTGACCTAGATAAATGGTCCATGTTATTTGGTTTAAAGTGTGCTAGATGTTATTTAACCTTATACTACTCATTACCAAGTTCTATATTTTTACTTGTAAAATAAAGGAGATTAAACCTACTAGAGGTGTACTTATTAATAAAATAAGGTATTTCCACAAAATAGAAAATCTTATTTACAAAAGGAAACAAAAATTATCAAAATTTAAGGAGAGATGGGAATGTATAAATCATATGATATAATGGTTCCGTCTTATGATATGCGAGAAGAGAAAAAAAAGTTCAGGAGGGGTTTTTTTTCTGTCTCCATTGGCTTATGCTAATGTGCTGGTAAATTTGAAAATCTGTTAAAAAAATCATATTGCTGCCAAAAAACCAAACAAAAAATAAGTTTTATGATAAAGGGGTTTTTTCCTGTCTCTACGTGCTTGCTTTCAGATCTGCTTGTCAATTGGTTTCAAACCTACATGGCTGCCCCTCCCCCCTCCAAAAAAAAAAAATTGTATTGTTTGTTAAAAGCTATTTCCAAATTTATCTCCAACTTAAAAGGGAAAAAATATACTTCTTCGCCTGAAAATGCTGTCTGGTTTTTGGAATATGTCTCATCTTAGTGTACTTTTTGCTAGTACAATGCAGAAAATATTTTGTATCTTCTTCGGGATTGTATGTTAGAGAATAACTCACTATAAGTTTAAACTACTGTTGAGATCAACGCATAATTAATAATATATTTTCATGGAATAAAAAAGAAAAAGAAAAGATATTTGCAAGAGAACGGTAAATGTGATGAGAATGCAATAATCATAATCATTATTTACAGTAGTTTCCTGTTTTTTGTTATTTAAAAAAAATTATAAGATGTGTGAATTTAAAGGATAGGCATATTTTGTACCGCTACCTATTTGATTTTGTGAAAATTAACTAATTGTTAAATTTGGAAAAGTGGTTTTTTTTTAAGGAATGACTCTTTTTAATTCTTTTCTCTCTTTTTTTTCTGCATTTTTTTAATGTTAAAAAACACTTTATATTGTAATGTACTTTTTTTTTGCTTTGAAATCTTTGTTTGCCATCTTTTGAAGATGAATTTTTTTTTTAAATTAAAAAAAAACATTCATCGCACTTTTTTAAGTTGGACCCCATGGTTCCCCCTACACTTACAAAAGAAAACAGGGAATTCGGCAAGGACTGTACATTATTGCCATTACCACTAATAGGATACGTCGCATGAATGGCCTAGTTGGTTAAAGGGTGTACTGTGTTCTAAAGAACTTAACTCTTTTTTTTTCAATTTTAAGTATTCTAATTTTGTACAAATGATCATTCTAAATAATGTTTTTTTGTAGAAATAAACATTCTAATTATTCAAAAAATTACTGTACATATTGCCATTACCACTATAAGGCACGTCGCA